CAGTACAACTTTTATCACATTGTTTATTCAGTACAACTTTTATCACATTGTTTATTCAGTACAACTTTTATCACACTGTTTATTCAGTACAACTTTTATCACACTGTTCATCTAGTACAACTTTTATCACATTGTTTATCTAGAACAACTTTTATCACACTGTTTATCTAGTACAACTTTTATCACACTGTTTATCTAGTACAACTTTTATCACACTGTTTATCTAGTACAACTTTTATCACACTGTTCATCAGTACAACTTTTATCACACTGTTCATCTAGTACAACTTTTATCACACCGTTTATCCAGTACAACTTTTATCACACTGTTCAACTTTTGTAATATAAGAAAAACTTCAAACCAAACCAGAAACAAACTTTATCAACTCTTGGGAGGGGAAGTATGTTTCGTCAAACAACATGAATCAAGTATTTTCTTTATCGCTTTTAGTTTCCTACTGTTAACAATACAGTTTTTACAAAACCACAACCAAATCTGATCATCCCAACAGATGTTCCAGCCATTTTTCTTTACAGAACAGGTTACCTAGTATTTAAAAGTTTATTAGTTGAGGTTCCTACAAGTAGCAAAAAAAAACAACTTTGTATGAGACCAAGGAAGCTTGAAAGATATTCAAAATCAGACCCAAGACTAATGGAGCTACTTTTGAATGTAATCCAGTACCATAAATACAAAAAATGTTGTACACGGACTGATGATTTCATTCTGATACTTTGTTTTTTATTTGAGATGATGTTTTGGCTCTATACCGAGTCTTTCATCAGATTACCACATTTTAAAACATAATATGGTAACTTGACCCACAACAGTAACAATACCAAACATTAAGAACAAAAGATATACAAATAAAACAAGTTTCAAATATATAGTAATAAAATATGAATCTGTTATTTATAGAAGACAGACAGAAATAAGTGGGAAAAAAAAATCAATTGTAAAATCATAATGAAATGTTTTGCGTTCGTTTTGTTAAGTTCCGAGTGTTTACCTTTGCTTTATTACTTTTCTTGATTCTTTTTATTTTATTTCTTATCAATACTCTTAGTATGAATTAAAATTTAGGACCCCCCTTTTTGGTAAATTTTCAACTGCACTTTCGCATAAATTACGATAAAATAAAAAAAAGACTTACCTGTGAAGACACCACCAATAATTGCACAAACGCTGGTCAAAAAATGAAAGAAGGACCTAAAATGTAAACATCTAATTAGACAAGACATATTAGGTTTAATCAATTCAAACCAATATTTTTTCTTATATACCGTATGAATGTACAGGCTCGTTCAACAAGTTATTTAAATTCATTCGTAGTTTTTAATTTTTTAATGAAACGTTTTCCAACTCACTGAAATGGGGTAAAATAAAAACAGATTTAAGTAAGTGTGTATCTGTGAAAAATATAAAGTTTATAAGGTAAAATATCCTTTAACTCTGAGAGGGAAAGAGAGACGAGACATTCACACACGAAATGCATCAAACTAAATGTATACAAGGTGATAATAAAACAAAGTTCTGGAGGTATATTAATACTGATCATAAAATATGGTTGTCAAACTTACCAAACCAGAACCAAAACTTGATTAAACTAGAACACACTGTGGGAAATGTTCAGTGATAATGAATGTTTATTGACTAACACTTGAATGGTACTAAGAAAGGTTGAAAAATTACTCACAACCAAAACTAGAACGAATGTTGGCTGATATGCGGTAAGTATAAAAATAATTTTTAGACCTGTCTTTATCGTGCTGTAATCATTTTTAAAAATTATAAGGAAAAAAAAAAAGTATTTCTCATGTTATTTTGCTGAAAAGGAAAGTTTCATCTTATTTTTTATTAGAAATAAATAAAAACAACAATAACTAAATTTATAAAATTTTTTGCCGTTAGTTATTTAA